GTTTTTTTTTATATACGTCCGTGGTCCCAGATTTGGGTCAAAGTTAACTCGCAAAAGGCTTATTCCTGTTATAGCAAGGTAATTTGCCAAGTCCGAAGGGCCTCTTATTAAACGACGTTCAACTGTATTACCAAAATAAGTCCACAAGAAAGCATTCAATATGGGCAATAACTGCACATGAGCACTTTGGGTACACAGCCTCATAAAAGCAACTGCGCAAGCATAAATTTGATGATGTTGTCAGATCACACCAAGTACCAACGATGGCATGAATATTCAACTTCCTATACTACAGTACACAACATTGTAAGGATGCAGATTACCGGCAAAAAAATTGCAGTGAAGATCATGGGGTACAACAGGGGCTAATGGTTGTGAAACAGTAGGTAACAAGCAAGCTCTGGCTATGGACATACCGGGCATGCCAGAAAACAGTGATTGGCCAGATGTTATACTAATGGGGCAGTGCAGACACCTGGGAGTTTTACATACATGTAATAGCGTGTAGCAACCACACTGCCTCTGAGAAAACTGCAACAAGCACGTGCGTACATATTGATCAAAGAAAATATTGGGTAACCCGATCCTTGGACTGGCTGGTGTGTATATAGCCATGGTCACTGTTTTCACTGGCGCGGTACCTGCCATTTTGCGAGAATCCCGAAAGTCCACGCTGCCCCAAAGCCCAGGCTGTTCAAACTCCTTCAGAGTCCTTCCTCTCTGGTGATACCTCGACTGAAATTATTGTAGCGGACTGGTACCCACACACACTCATACAAACCCAGTGTATAGCTTGTAAATGTATATGTCTGTTCTAGGACACCATACCGCATAATAGGAAAAAGCATGATGGGATAGGTCATCAGTGTTTTTGTAAAATGGTGTCCTGAGATGTGGTGAGATCATTAAAGTTGTGTTATATTATTGTTATCAAATCCGCCTAATCCTGTGGAATATTGTGTGGACTGTCTGTCTCCAGGATCCTAAACAACCTGTAGCGATCGGCCCGTTACATCATGATATTCTCGCAGTGGGAAAAACGGGAACTTTTGCACATTATAATATAGAATGAAGGGTAAATTTGCCCCTTTGTCGTACATATAGGTTAAAAGTCCATAATGTCGTCACGCTGAACGCGAGAATTGGCCTAACAAAATATGCCCCAAAAGAAGTACAGCCAGCGATTAAGTTCAGCAAGTAATTCTCGTCATGTCTCATCTACCATGTCTACATAAGTACATTTCGTAACAAAATGCTGCACGCTTTTGTTCATGTTATTAAAACAAACGCGAGTGTGGGCGACATAGCTAACTGCAACAGTTGGATATCATACAGTTTGACAACAGTGGGACATGTACGCATTTGTTTTTGACACTGCCTGGCGTGTACACGATCGGATGATCAGAGATGACGATGCATCGCACATGTACATGAACGTGGAGTTTTGGTCTAACGACGTGTTACTATAACAGTGTTATTATTATCATCTGCTCATCAAAATACATCAAGCCGTCAAATACACGTACACGATCAGTATTAATACTTACCTTAAAAAGAAGAAATTGTAAAAGAATGACTCAGTCACGAGACACTCACTCGAGATCGTACGTACAATTTACTCTGCGTCACTGTGATATGATTGCGCAATTCGTACGCATCATCTGAGCAATAGAGGGCGGTATGTATTACTTCGTCAGCTTCTGT